TTACTCATCCAATAAAAACATGATATAGATAATACTATTCAATTAACTTTTAGAACGCTATTTCGGGGGTTTTTTTATATGGTATTTATCCAAAAAATGTTAGATATATATATATGATATTATATCATTGAGTAAAACACTTGACACTAATACGATCTCTAATGATATAAGGATCGACCAAAATACGGAATTACTGATACAATTTTGAGACCTTATAATTCCTCCAGGTTCGAGTTGCTGTATTGATTTTCTCTTCAAAAAAAGTGTTCGCGAAAAATGAAAGGGGTATTGACTGACGTCGAAAAATATTCGATGGTGATTCCAGCAATAAATGAATGATTTTTTTTTGGGATTTCTGAATTTGTATGGACGCATCGTTCTTTGGTGTGAGTCGTTTTAACAATTTTCTCCTTAAAGACACAACAAATAGAAGTAAGATTAGTAGCAATCACCAATTAATTTTTCACGAACACTCCCTTTAAAGGAAGATATTGCGTTTGAAAACATGACCGATTTAAATTTAGAATAAATTTAGTTGAGTATGACTGCAATAAGCAGAATGAAAAAATACAAATTCCGGACCAAATTGGCCTGCAAAACATCCAACCTGAACTAACATTTAATTTCATGTCCATGGCTGCTCAAAAATTAACAAAAAAAAACATAAAAAAACGAAAAGAATATATAATTAAATTACAACCATCTTTTATTGCTGTAATTATTAGTATGTATATTGCAATATTGAAAAGCGCAGATTGTCCAGAAAGCTTTGACTTTCGATCACAATTTGTTCAATTAAAAATAAATTTTTTGCTTTTCCTGTTTCATTTTTTTTTTTCTAGGGAATATATTTAGATGAAAAAGTAGAAAAAAACAACTCTGTAAATTTAAATTTGAATAAAAGACCATAACATGATTTTATTTAAGAAGGTGAAATTTATGCGGCATCACTGGTCCGACTGTGTGACCTCGTAGCTCCTCTTGTTTTGATCATATACAGTGTCATGAGACAAGCATATGTACCTGGTTACATAAAAGAACTTCAAAACATTTTGCTCTTCTCAATAGCTTATCAATGTAAACGATTGAAAAACAGCTTAAATTTTACAAGGAATTTACTTTAGTTTAACGTGGATAAGGGTTGTATACGGGGATAGTAAAGTTTACAAGGAATTTACGTTAGTTTAACGTGGATAAGAGATGTATACGGGGAGAGTAAAGTTTACAAGGAATTTACTTTAGTTTAACGTGGATAAGGCTTCTATACGGGGAGAGTAAAGTTTACAAGGAATTTACGTTATTTTGACGTGGATAAGGGTTGTATACGGGGAGAGTAAAGTTTAGCACTTGAACAGGAAACTTAAGATAGTTTCGTTGAACGAAACTACCCAGTTTACTTTCTGGGGTCTAAACAGTTGCATAGATTTGAAATTAAGAAATTAGAAAACAAAAATTAAATGTAAAGAAACTAAATAATATTTATTAAAAACCGAGTTTCCGTTACTGGGTTTAATTACGATATTCTATCTTAAGTTTTTGGCTCTGGTATAATGAGAATACATCCCCCGGGAAAACCATGGTCTAGTGTTGTTAGTACTGGCAGAAACCCGGTTTAAATATGTCAACATCAAACACAAACATAATTAACATCATTACACACTTCTAACTAGATGCATTAAACAATTAACAGGGTTAATGGGCGTGGGGTGTTTATGCTAAATAATGTATTTATGCACTTTTGTTCACCATTGAAGGGGGAAAATAGCAACAACAAAAATATTAACAAACGGCTTTAACCAAATCTATGCAAGAAAGTCAAGAGGGAAAATCCCTCTTTTCCTGACAGAAAATGTCACTGAAAAGTGAAAGAAAGTTCTTGTCGGTTACCGGCGGGTTTTACGATGGGTATTTAAGATTTACGTCGAGGTTTGATTTTCAGAAAGATTTTACTTTTGAAATTGTTTTCACAGATATTATTGTCATCACTCCTTACTGAATAGAAATGTATAAATATCTCAAGAAACTAATATATAATGCTATATGAATTACACAAATTATATTATGCAATCTATAAGATACAGGGTGTCCCAAAAAACATGGGAATTCAGTGACGAATTCGATATCGTCTTTGTTATGAATTAGCATTGTATAAAAGACCCAACATTTTTGAGGCAACTCACATGACCCCAGGGAAGGTTTATGGGTGCCCAGAATTACTAAAGATTGTCTACAACAAAATTTGATTTTCATAAAATTTTGAAAATCAGCGAAATAAAATAATAAAACCTTAAAAGCCCAGTTTTACATGGATATAAAATATGTAGACATATCATATATCTACAATTCACATTTAAAACTTATCATTAAACTAAAATTGTCCAGCAACTTTTGGTTCAATGTTTCTTGAGTCTTAAATAAAAGAAATAGGAGTTACAATGTCGCAAAGTTTGGACAAATGTGTGCGAAAATGCAAATGCATCCGCCTGAAAATGGAGAAAATTAAATTTTTTGATAAATGCAAAATTTTCTCCCCCATCCTCTCTATAATGTTGTCTATGAGCTCTGGTTTTGAAGGCTAAATCATTCTGCTAGATTATAAAAGCTTTTATATCCTAAAATCAAATTATAAAATCCTTTTTCTGTTTGAACTTTCTTTTATCTTTATATTTTCAGCTTTTAATCATTTTCTAACTATCTATCTATTCATCTATAAGCTGTCTAACTATATTTCTACTTATCTATCTCTAATGGATTTTGTAACGTCTTGAAAATCGGAAAATATTTCCTAGCGTTCGTATTATTGAGAAAATCTTTAGTTCAACTTTTTCTACATTTTCTTTTTTTTTTCTTCCAGTATACATCCTCACTTCTACACATCTTCTAGTATATATCCTCACTTCTATACATCTTCTAGTATATATCCTCACTTCTATACATCTTCCAGTATACATCCTTCTACCCTTCTATCCGGCCTACTTTCATCCATCCTCACTTCTATACATCTTCCAGTACACCTACTTACTTCTATACATCTTCCAGTATACATCCTCACTTCTATACATCTTCCAGTATATATCCTTACTTATATACATCTTCCAGTATATATCCTCACTTCTACACATCTTCCAATATACATCCTCACTTCTATACATCTTCCAGTATATATCCTCACTTCTATACATCTTCCAGTATACATCCTCACTTCTACATATCTTCCAGTATACATCCTCACTTCTATACATCTTCCAGTATACATAGTCCTCACTTCTATACATCTTCCAGTATACATCCTACTTCTATACATCTTCCAGTATATATCCTCACTTCTAGACATCTTCCAGTATACATCCTCACTTCTATACATCTTCCAGTATACATCCTTACTTCTACACATCTTCCAGTATATATCCTTACTTCTACACATCTTCCATTATACATCCTCACTTCTACACATCTTCCAGTATACATCCTACTTCTATACATCTTCCAGTATATATCCTTACTTCTATACATCTTCCAGTATACATCCTCATTTCTATACATCTTCCAGTATACATCCTCACTTCTATACATCTTCCAGTATATATCCTCACTTCTACACATCTTCCAGTATATATCCTCACTTCTACACATCTTCTAGAATATATCCTCACTTCTACACATCTTCCAGTATATATCCTCACTTTTTTACATCTTCCAGTATATATCCTCGCTTCTATACATCTTCCAGTATATATCCTCACTTCTAGACATCTTCCAGTATACATCCTCACTTCTATACATCTTTCAGTACACCTACTTACTTCTATACATCTTCCAGTATACATCCTCACTTCTATACATCTTCCAGTATACATCCTTCTACCCTTCTATCCGGCCTACTTTCATCCATCCTCACTTCTATACATCTTCCAGTACACCTACTTACTTCTATACATCTTCCAGTATACATCCTCACTTCTATACATCTTCCAGTATATATCCTCACTTCTACACATCTTCCAGTATACATCCTCACTTCTACACATCTTCCAGTATACATCCTCACTTTTACACATCTTCCAGTATTAATTTGTAACTTCATTTATCTGATGGTTACTTACTTCAGTTTCTTGCATTCTACTATTCTACTTTCTCTAGTTTTTATCCGGTAATTTCCAGATTTATTATTTTTCATATATTTTCTTATCCAGCTTTTTATCACGTTAACCATCTTCTTACTTTTTAGATTGCGTCTAGATTTTTCCTTTCATCCTTTCGATTCCCTTTTTATCTTCATTTTTCTTCAAGATTTGTCTTAAAATTTCCGAATTGTCCTAAAATTTTCTTAATTTTCTTTCAATCTCCTGAATTTCCTGAACTTTCCTTCAAATGAATTTTCCCTCTAAATTTTCACCAAACCTTGCTTATTTTTCTTAATTTTTTCTTTCATTTTTTTGTATTTTCCGTTAATATATTGCTTACCACTTAACTTTAGAATGTTATTCAAATATCTTCAAGTAATTGGACCGCTAAACAAACTTTGCGCTAAAATTCATGGTTTATTCTAGTATTTTTTTTAACTCTAAAATTCTTTCTTTTTTCGCTAAAATTCCTCCGTTTTTACTATAAAATCCTGGTTTTCTCTTCATTCCAGTTTTACTCTGGTATATTCTTCACTTTCAAGTTTAAAGTTTCTTAGCTCCAGCTTTACTCTGGTAAACTATTCTTTACCTTATGTATTAAGGTTTCTGTTCTGGTTTTACTCTGGTATATTCTTACTCTAAAGTTTAAAGTTTCTTAGTTCTAGTTTTACTCTGGTATATTCTTACTCAAAAGTTTAAAGTTTCTTAGTTCCAGTTTTACTCTGATGTATTAAAGTTTAAAGTTTCTTAGTTCTATTTTTACTCTGGTATAAAGTTCTTTTACTCTGGTATAAAGTTCCTTTACTCTGGTCCCTGGACCATCAAGCTTAACTCTAATTCGATTAGTTTGATTACTCAACATTCTGTTTGTTTCAGAATGTGGGGAAGGGCGGCAGAGTCCAGAAACATCGGAGTCTCACCAGAGTCCAGACAGCCCTCCGGACTCCCTCGGACGATACACGGATTATCCATCAGAAGACGAGTTTCAGTCTTTAGAGGATGCAGAACCCCAAGATCTGAGCTGCAAAACTCCGCTAGTTCGGAGAATATTTCGTCCGTATTGTCTGAAGGACCCAGAGGAGTATAATTACACCCGTCCCATCTCCAGTTCTCCTTCAATATTACAGTTCAGGAATATCGAGGATATCACCACTGCTCAGGCCATCCTCGATCTTAGTGCTCCGCATAGAACTGGATCCAACCCTGAGCATACTTACCATCTTGTTCAAACCCCTTCCAGTCCAAACCCTCCTACATCTCCTTATATTAACCCTAGCACCGCCCACCTTACTAAACCTGAACCTGAGACTGATATTAGGGGAGAAGCGGTAGTATTTAAACTCAACGGTGGGAAAACCACCGCTTATACATACGAGGCCTTTTTTGCCAGTGATGGAAGATCTAAAAAAGTACCAGTTGTTGCTGAGGTTGTGAAACCCAAGTATACTTGTACGGAGTGTGGAAAAAACTACGCGACCAGTAGTAATTTATCACGACACAGACAAACCCATCGAACCCTTGACTCCGGAAACGCCAAACAGTGCCCTATATGCAATAAGATGTACGTGAGTATGCCAGCTCTTTCAATGCACATTCTCACACACAATCTAAGCCACCGATGTGATATGTGTGGTAAAGCATTTTCCCGTCCTTGGCTTCTGCAAGGACACATGAGAAGTCACACTGGAGATAAACCCTTCGGTTGTGCACATTGTGGCAAAAGTTTCGCGGACAGATCCAACCTAAGAGCACACATGCAAACCCACTCAGCTTTCAAGAATTATAAATGCAAGAGATGCAACAAATCCTTTGCTCTCAAATCCTATTTAAACAAGCATTATGAGTCTGCTTGTTTTAAAGACCAGGCACCGCCTTCCATAGAAACGCCACCCTCCACGCCCTCCCCCTCCGAGTTCTCGGATTCAGGTCCCCTCTCTCCTTATCCAGACTCGGAGCTATCAGATCTCACTCATCCAAACCTAACTTCTCCTCATCCCAACCATGATTTGTCTCATCCAAACCCCGAATCTTCTCATTCAAGCCCACAGTCTTCTCATGAGAACCCTGATACTGTTTATCCGACTCATCCTGAGCAGGATGAAAATGAGCATATTATTCATGTGCCCAAACCTGTATTTCCCTTCAACAGTCAGTTAATAAGAGTTTAGACTCTTTTTCTCTCCGTTTACGATTTAGATCTTTTGCAACACTTTGGATGCTTACTGGTGGGGGAAGGGGGGGAGGCTATTGGATTGTGTCCCACCTGGAAAGATAAAAAGGTTTAACGTCTTCTCCTTGTATACGCCACTGTTAATCAATATTTATTGTCTTGACAAGTTTAAAAGTTAGGATCACAGATTTAAACTATACTTCAAATCAGGGCTTTAATTTTAAACCTAACTTGATTTCTGGAATGTAAATAAAGCCTTCGTCAACGTTTGGTCAAAGAAAGGTCAATGATTTGTCAATAATGTTTTTCATTAATGATTGGTTATTGTCAACGACTTTGTTATGATTGGCAATGTTTGGTCAATGATTGGTCAATGATTACTTAATGCTTGCTCAGTGATTGCTCAAGGATTGGCCAATTGGACAAAGCCTCTGCATTTTTAATTTTTTCATTGATCGTTATGAATTCTGATCCTAATTTTTCTTTGAAGTTTGGGATCTGTCAAGGTTCATATTTGATAGTTTTTCAGACCATATGTGTTGCAAGAGGTTTTTATCACTTCTTCTTTTTTATAATTTTTTGAAAATATCGTCACTTTTAATCTATGCAAGGTTTTATTGTAAAAATCTTTACATTACGCAATGTGAACCATTTAAATATTTCTATTGCCAAATTATATTAATATACTTGTCTTTATGAAACATTTTATATAATACATTTATTAAACATTTTTAATAAAATTCTCAAAAATCTAAGAAAATTGAAAAACGAACTTTGTAAAATAAAAACTAGTGTTGATTTTAAAAAGAATTGAATTGACTCTTAATTATATTCGTTAAGGTATGATTAGGCTTTTTATTATAATTTATTTACTTCAGAAATTGGAGAAAAAAATTGCAAAAAATCTAACTCACAAAAGACTCCCATTATTTACTTTCCCAGCAGTTATATAATAAGATTAAACACTGAACAGATTCTTAGACATCTTAATTTTTGACATAATTCTAAAATTATGTTGTCAATGAACCAAGGTTGTGAAATTTAAAACCTTGTTTATATCAATTTATGCAATTTTTAAACTTTGTTAGTTTTTGCTCATCATACAACGTTTTTGCGTAGAAATTAGCAATAATATGGCATTCAAACCTTGAATTATTTAAACTCAACGTTTTTCAATCGTATTTAAGAATATTTCAAATTTCTTGTTTGAGTTTAAAGTTTCCAGGTTTGGTGTAAAATATCTCGTGATTCCATAATATATGCATCGAATTCAAATATTGAAGGGTATTGTAAGCAATAAAAATGAAGAATTAGACTTTTAGCAATAATTAACTGTCTAGCAATATATTCTTCCTGTAAATATGCAATATAGTCGATAAGAAAAGCAATATTTTATTACTCTAGCAATAATTCGTAGCAATTTGGCAATTTTGTGAATTTGTAAAAATTAAAATAAATTCGAGGTTTATAATAAATTATATTTTGTATTTGTGAAAACAGTTTCTAAGAGAGAGAAAGATTTTTTACATAACTCTTTTATTATAAAAAAAAAACAAATCTTAAAACCAACACAAAAAAAACTAAAAAAAGGTTATTATGTGAAAGCTATAAAGAAACGTTTGAAACAGTAAACAGTCGAGATAATCACACTGTAGCCAGCACAGTGAGCTAAAATATTATAAAACACCCTGTATCCAGCGCAGTAAGCTAAAATATTATAAAACACCTTGTATCCAGCACAGTGAGTTAAAAGAGTATAAAACACCCTCTACCCAGCACAGTGAGCTAAAATATTATAAAACACCCTGTATCTAGCACAGTGAGTTAAAAGAGTATAAACACTCTGTACCCAGCACAATAAGTTTGAAAGTGTATAAAAGACCCTGTTCCCAGCACAGTGAGTTAAAAGAGTATAAAACACCGTGTATCTAGCACAGTTAGTTAGAAAGAGTATAAAACACCCTGTATCCAGCACAGTGAGTTAGAAAGAGTATAAAACACCCTGTATCCAGCACAGTTAGTTAGAAAGAGTATAAAACACCCTATATATAGTACAGTGAGTTAGAAAGGATATAAAACACCCTTTATCTAGCACAGTGAGTTAGAAAGAGTATTAAACACCTTGTATCCAGCACAGTGAGTTAGAAAGAGTATAAAACACCCTGTATCCAGCACAGTGAGTTAGAAAGAGTATAAAACACACTACATCCAGCACAGTGAGTTAGAAAGAGTATAAAACCCCCTGTATCCGGCACAGTGACTTAGAAAGAGTATAAAACACCCTGTACCCAGCACAGTGAGTTAGAAAGAGTTTAAAACACCCTGTAGCCAGCACTGTGAGTTAGAAAGAGTATAAAACACCCTGTACCCAGCACAGTGAGTTAGAAAGAGTATAAAACACCCTGTAGCCAGCACTGTGAGTTAGAAAGAGTAAAAAACACCCTGTAGCCAGCACTGTGAGTTAGAAATAGTATAAAACACCCTGTACCCAGCACAGTGAGTTAGAAAGAGTATAAAACACCCTGTATCCAGCACAGTGAGTTAGCAAGAGTAAAAAACAACCTGTATCCAGCACAGTAAGTTAGAAAACTAGGAGAACTAAGTATTGCATTGCCTTTGTTATATTCCCTCAGAAGCTGGTGGGAGTCGTTTTTAACAAAAAGAAAGTTTCAAACTTTAAAAACTTTTCTTAAGCCTTAAAGAAGAAAAGAAAAGGAGAAGAGAGGGATCGGAGAGAGTTTGAAATATGGTGTTTAGGGAAGAGAACACGGATAAAAGGAAAAAGATAAAAAAGATTAGAATGCGGATCAAGACGAAAGATCAAATTAAAAAGAAATAAGACGAAATTAGAAAGCTTATGATATTCCGGAAAAAAAGTAAAAGAAAAAGAAGATTAAGGACAAAGAAGAAAAGAGAAAAAAGGGAAAAAGGACCGAAAACTAATATATTTCTTTAGTTTAGATTAGAATTGGGCCCTTAACCCTATCCCTGCTGGGGTACTTGAAAACCAGGATACGCTGGGCCGGGGGGGGGGACCCCCCCCCCAGCAGGAATAGGGTTAACAGCTTAATTATAAATTATGCCTTGTTACATATAACATAGTTAAGCAATCACAAGATAAGTATGATGGAGTTATATATATCTACGAACATTGATTGGGTTAATTGAAATACATGATTTACGTATTTACTAATAATGGCACATTCACCCTTATGCCACAATATACAACTTAATTTACTTTGGGCCTCTATATTTTCTACAGTAGGACGTTCATATTTTTTTAAACAGAATCAGAAATTTTTTAAAAAATATTATTTTGAGATGAAAAATATTCTTAAATATTTTTAATTGCACTTTTAAAGAAGATTATAAATGTTTATACTCTACACTATAATGAGCCAGTAAAAGCAATATGATATAATAATAAAAATAATAATAATTATGTTTATATTTATTGTGTTCTGTAGAAGTTGTAACTGCTGGTGAAAACATAAAAAGAAAATGTATAAAAATATATGAAATACAAGGTGTCAACACAAAAAGTGGTCCAGTTAACATGAATTTTTTTTCGTTAGTACGTCATCTAAAACATTTTTTTTTAATTACTTGAACACTCTGTTAATTTTTATTTTGTTAAATTTTTTTCTTGACACCCTGTATAGAGGTGTAGGTGAGGGTAGTAAGGTCCAGTGGGTTCCGCAATCTGTGTCGCAATAACACCTCACAAAATAAGAGACCCAATTCTAACCATTTGGTCAAGGGAGGAGAGGCAAGAGTTCTTTACAAGGAAAGGGTGGTCCAGAGTTTTGTAAAGAGGGGCAAAGTTATTTCAAGGGGGTAGGGGGAGGGAGCAAAATAAATTTACACTTTTGCTATGAAATTTATCTTTTGAAGTTTCTCCCCCTCCCCCTTTCTCAGGAAAAATCTTATGCAAAATTACATATATTAAATATACAGGATACAAAATACATCTATTAAATATACAGGATACAAAATACATCTATTAAATATACAGGATACAAAATACATCTATTAAATAAACAGGATACTAAATGCATCTATTAAATATACAGGATACAAAATACATTTATTAATATCTTCACAAAAAACGAAATAATCTTTTACAGAGTTAAGAATATTCTGTTCCTTGGGTTAGTTAATTGCCCAATTTTTACCCATTAGATTATATACTTTCAAAAACCAAAATGATCTCAAATTGTCCAACGAAAAATCCAGAAATTCTAAAAATCTCAATCTAAGGTTTAAAGATTTTTAACCGAATTCAACAACTGGTTTAATCTAAACTATGGAAGTGGAAGGAGTTGAATTTTGAAACACCAATGACTATAGGATTCCAGAAAAATAACTAATTATCCAGCCAAATATAGTTTAACTACTTCTCTCAATTCTCATTCCCAGCCAAATATAGATTAACTACTTCTCTCAATTCTCATTCCCAGCCAAATATAGATTAACTACTTCTCTTAATTCTTATTCCCAGCCAAATATAGTTTAACTACATCTCTCAATTCTTATTCCCAGCCAAATATAGATTAATTACTTCTCTCAATTCTTATTCCCAGCCAAATATAGTTTAACTACTTCTCTCAATTCTCATTCCCAGCCAAATATAGATTAACTACTTCTCTTAATTCTTATTCCCAGCTAAATATAGTTTAACTACTTCTCTTAATTCTCATTCCCAGCCAAATATAGATTAACTAATTCTCTCAATTCTTATTCCCAGCCAAATATAGATTAACTACTTCTCTCAATTCTCATTCATAAAGGAATTGAGACTTTGCAACAAAGTTAAATTTTGTAATCCCATATTTCTTTTCAACCTGCTGGTGTGAACCATAGATATTTTAAACTTCAATTATTTGATCTAACAGAACTCAGAGTTTGAAATATCTAAGATCTACGACTTTGGGTTGCAAAGACTTATTTTCTTACTATTTTAAAATCAGTGTGAAGAATGGAGTCCACTATTTTACAGAGGATTTATCTGCATTAAACCTTGTGTCCCAATCCAATATAGGTAATATCTATCCCACAGAGAATATTCACGATTTTAGATCAATATTTGCTGTGCAGACTAAATTGTTTTGTTATCTACGACTTATATTAATTTTTTTATCTATTCGTTCGAATTAAATTAACGTGGTGTAAAAGCTGATTAAGTTATCGTTCTTTTTTAATAATAAGTTAACGATTATTTCCACTGGTTTGTTAACAGAATTTTCCGTTTATTCTAAATATCTTCCGTTCAAAATTTTCCGTTAAATTAAAAAAAATCGTTTTTTGATAGACATTTTTATTTCTATTTTCATTTATTGGGGTTTCCGGTCGTTTTTGATTGACAACGGAACTTTGCCTAGTCCGACCGGAAGCTTAATGTCTTCCTCTATTTTTATTAATATTAATGTATATAGAGAAATTGAGCCTTTGCCACAAACTCAATTTTTCTAAACCCTGCATTTTTGCACCTAGAAGGTGTAAAACCATTTATATTTCAAAATTAAATTATTTGATCTAACAGAAATCCTAGTTTGAAATATCCAAGGTCTACATCATTGGGTGCAAAGATATCGGAATTATAAAGTCTAGTTTGTGGCCGAAAACCCATGGTCTAAACTCTAAGCTTTCTTAATAAAGTTTAAAGTTTAATATGATGCATGCATGAGTTCAATTGTAAACAAACATGAGT